TTTTTTTTTTTTTTTTTCAACTGTTATTTAGCTGTATTCATAACCATAGACTTAACTCTGCAATCCAGGTACATTTGGAGGGAAGCAAGGAAAACATGGAACCCAAAGAACTGCAATAAGAGCAGAAATGATGGGGTGTTTTGAGCAGGGAGGGCTTAGGGTGACCTCCTCAGCTAGAGGAATGGTCTGGTCTGGTAGTGGCGATACACACAAGTCACACATGTTAGGGCTGTCCACAGTTGGTGTTGGTGATCTTCTTGCTAGTCTTGCCATTCCTGGACCCGAAGAGCTCCATGGCCTCCACCATGTTCATGCCCTCTTTCACCTTCTCAAAGACCATGTGCTTGCCGTCCAGCCACTCAGTCATGGCAGTGCAGATGGAAAACTGTGATCCTGTTTGTGTTTGGCCCAACATTTCCATGGACAAGATGCCTGGGCCTGTGTGCTTCCAGATGACGTTCTCATCATTGAATTTCTCCCTGTAGATGGATTTACCACCAGTGCCATTGTGGTGCGTGAAGTCGCCACCCTGGCACATAAATCCTGGAATAAATCTGTGAAAGCAGGAACCCTTATAATCAAATCCTTTCTCTCCAGTGCTCAGAGCACTAAAGTTTTCTTCTGTCTTTGGAACTTTGTCTGCAAACAGCTCAAAAGAGACACGGCCCAAGGGCTCGCTGTCAGCAGCAATATTGAAGAACACGGTGGGGTTGAACATGGTTGGCAACAAACAACTGAGAGGATGGATAGAGATGTCTGCGAAAACTCATACACTTTGGGTGCCATGTTTCTGAAGTTTCTCTGAATATATATATATATATAGGCGTTTGAAAAGTGCATTTAGCTATTATAAAGAAGATGCAGTTAGGGATGTTGGGGCACACCGGTAATCCCAGCTACTTACATGGCTGAGGCAAGACTATGGCAGATTCAAAGCCAACATGAACAATTCATTAAGACACTTTTTTTTTTTTTAAAGGAGGTATCCCCATAAGGTAACGATGAGGAAAGAGCACCAAGACCGAGACAATAGGTAGTATGCTTCCCTTTGTGCATTTAAGTGTGTGTTGTCTGTGCAGAAAATGGCTCTAAAAGCTAGATGAGGAACAAATTACAAAAGATACTTCTGGGAATAGAAACAAGGAAAAATAGTGGAAAAAATTTATGGCCTTCTTATTTTACTTTTAACATTCTACACTGTGAATGTACTATCGAGAACTAAATAAAGTTACAAATACTTTAAAATAGTAAAGGATGAATACTCTTAACCTCTTTCTATTACTAAGGAGATAAGTGAACCATGCTATACAGGTTTACAGATGAGATTTTCATCACAGCATTGTTATTGTAATAGTGAAACTGGAAACAACCCTAGAGTTGATTATCAGTTATTATACATCCATATCTGTGCTCTTCAAAAATTGTTCACTTGGGGGCTGGGAATATCCTCTAGTGCACTTGTCCAGGATGTTTAAGACCCTATATTCCACATTTCAGCACTACAAAGCACACACACACACACACACACACACACACACACACACCACCCAGCTAGCTCTTATAATTTTTATATACCTAGAAATTATATTACAAAGATTTTTAACATCTGAGGTAAAATTATTACAAACTATTTTAAAACAAGATTTTTTTAAGGAATACAAATTGAATATACTGTACAAAAAGTATACTGCTTAATTTTCATTTTTTCTAATGCGTAACAGATTGACTTTTTTTTAGTGCACACATGTGATCTTAGATAATGCTGATGTCCTGAGCCAGTATCAACTGAAATATTTCCAAAAGAAACACATTCATATGGCTAATCCAGGTTTTGTATGGGAATGTATCAAAGAAAGGAGACTCTTAGATCTGAAGGATTACCATCCTGCTCAATCACGAGACATCATGCCATCTCCTGATGACAAGACAAGCTATTCTGGTACGTATTCATGGCTAGCCCTTGTTATAATGATAGATGTATGGGTTTGTTGAAGTTGTTATAGACAGAAGTTCAGAAATAACTGGAAAGAATCAGGCTTCTATTAACTCAGAAAATGGGCAGCAAAATAGTGAAGAAGGAAAGATTAATTTGGCAATAGAAATAAATTTCTCTATCTCTAACCTAGTGAAGTCCAGATTTAAGATGAATACACAGACATTAATAATCTTAGAAAACTTAATATGCAATTTTAAGGTAAAGGGGGTAAAGCCTTTTTGCTGTATTTTGTTTTGTTTTGTGAATTTCTGAGACAAGGTTTCACTATGTGTGCCACCACACACCTGGCAGACTGGGAATTTCGTGACCAGCGTTTTGCTGAAGAAAGTTCTTGCAAAAGTTGTTCTTCCTGAAAGAAATATATTTCATTTATAAACTTAGATTTTATTTTGGAATGTGGCTAAGAAGAAAGCCTTTGGTCTTAGAAGAATGATTACTTCATGAGTTACATCCAAAAATCAGTCAGTTGAGCTATATACAGTGGCGTGTGCCTGTAGTTCCATCTTGTCAGGAAGTTGAGGCAAAAGGATCAGTTGAGCTCAGAAACTTGAGGCAAGCTGGAGAATATAGCAAACATGTCAAAAACAAAACATGCGAAAACTAAACGGTTCTTTTTTTTCTGTCTACCCCCAAGCAGTTCTTATAAACAATAACTTATAGTAAGTACATGATGTGTATTAGTACACTAGGCATTTTGTCAGGCTGAAATTTCTCTTGATAAGCAGTTGTAGAGAAATACTGCTATAGTCACTTACTTTCTACTGTCTCAGGAAAGGATAGCTAACATGCAAACAGGCAGGGTGAGAGGTCCATTTTAAACTGAAATCACTGTTTACTATCCAGAATGGATCTGTTCAGGGTCAGATGTACTGATGATTTTTGAAGTCTTTTTTTTTTTTTTTTGCAGAACCGGTGATTGAACTCAGACCCTTGCGCTTGCCAGGGAAGCACTTATTGCACTGAGCCATCTCCCTGGTTCCTGAAATCTTAATAGTATAATTAAAATAGGAACCAGGGTTGTCACATTATTGTAGAGTGCCTGCTGACATGAGGCTCTGGGGTTCAAACTCCAGCACCACAGTGGATAATTTTAAAAATGAAGAGTTATTCCTACATACCATAGTTCTTTAGATAATGTCAAGGTTTCTCTATAAGAAAAATCTCACACAGAGCCTTTGAATTCCCCTCCTATAAACCAGAACAGCCTTAGTCACTTCACTTGTGCCATTATGACATTTAGAACTCACTCTAATCCTGGAGTGTATTAGAAATGCATTTTATAACTGCTTACTATGATATTTAGGAGAGAAAATTGCCATTTGACAATTCTGTGGGTTGGATGTTGTAGTACACATCTGTCATCCTGGCACTCTGGAGGCTGAGGCTGGAAGGTTTTCAGCTTCAGAACAGCCTTACTTTTATGGCTATCAAAGAGTTTCAGTTAATACAGATTGGATTTTAATTCTCACATGCCTAATATATTCTCAGTGTTTTATACACCCATTTTCCCACTTGTATTGTCCATAGATTATTAATCACTGCACATCATTAAAACAGACAAAAATATAGAACTGCATGGCAAACATGGTCCACATTTAAGAATCTTAACAATTTCAGCAGTTAGGTTAGCAGTTAATTATAGTTAAGTTTTGAGCTATAAACATATTTTGCTTGCTCTCATTCCAGAAGTGAAACCTGATGGTCTCTGCCTGGACAGTGCCCCAGAGGAAGAAATCGTGGAAATAACTGAGTAACCCAAATATTTCATAGGCCTTGAGCACAGTATTAAAATACTATTTGTAGCCTTGCATAGATTTTTGTCTTCCTTATGTGTTAAGTTTGCATTTTAGACTTCACTATTATAGTGATAATTACTTTTATGTTCTCATTATATGAGATGGTATATAATTATTAGTTTTACTGATTTTTTAAAGAGTTTAACTGGCAATAAGATTAGAGCAGCCTGCCTGCTCTGTTACCTTCTTGAAAAGCCTTTGGAATAAAGACAATTCTTAATTTTTTATCTGATACTTTTAAAAATGGAAATAACCACTCTTCCCAGGTGGATTATATGAGTCTGAAATTCTGTGTGCCTTCTTAAGTGTGCAGTGATAATCAGGCATTGCATTTGCTTGTATTATATATGTTAGTAGTAGTGTTAAGAGAGAACCAAATTCAAAATAAGTTGGACTCCTTTATTTTAAAGAGAAGTTGAAGCCAGGTGTGGTGGCACACTCCTGTAACCCCAGCAACTCTGAGAGGCTGAGGCAGGAGAATATCAAAGTGGAGGCTACCTGGTCAATTTACTGAGACTGTGGCTCAGAATAAATCATAGATAAATAACCACTGGGCATACAGCTCTGTGGTAGAGTACTTGCCTTGCATGGGTGAGACCCTGAATTCAATCCCAGTACTGAGGTAAGGGGGTGAGGTTCAGATGCCAGGCAAATACAGTGGTCTGTCTCCAGAGCAAGCAGCAATGTTTTTTCTCTGTGTGTTTCCTTGGTGCGTACCTGCCATCCTGTGCAGATGTCATGATTCTGGACAGCAGAACTTGAGAATTATGCAGAAGAACTTGGAGACAG